CCTTTCCTTTGCCTTTTTCCTTTGCCTTTGCCTCCAGTTGACTCCACCGCCATCGCCAGCCGTGTGTCATTCGTCCGCTGCTCCTTTTTCATCTCCCAGCGAGTGCTGTGCGGCATTTTCTTCATTTAGGTTTTTGTCTGTGCGATTTTCACACACTTTTTGTTCATTAGTGGATAATGAACAATTGCAGCATTATGACAGCGCCAGCAGAGGCAGTGGAAGCCAAAGCAGCTTCCGTGGCGGTGCAGTGCAGTTGAGTTCGCTTTCCCGCTTTTCCGCTTTCCCGGTGGCCGGAGCATTAGCAGCCTGCATCTGGCCAGTTTTTCACCTCTTGCTATCCAGACGCAAGCATTTTTATTAAAATTCCATGTCAGAACCATTAATTTTCCCGCACTGTGCACTCACTCTCCCTGCCTCTCCTGCTTCGTCCTGGTTTTTATGCACCTCTTGGCTTTGCTCTTTTTTCGGTTTTAGATGTTTTGCTGCCGGTTGGGTTAAGTTTCGGTCGGTTTTATTGCAGTTTCGAACAGGCTGTGTGCTTGTTCTTTAATAAAGTCTCTGGAAAGGAATTAATAGCTTTTCGTGTCGAATCCTTCATGTTTTTAGAGCGGTGGGGGGAAAAATGCGAATGGGGATGGGCGAACTCTCTCCTCTTCTGCGTTCAATATGCAAATGATCCGGCTCGGATGGCCCGTATCTGGGGGCGCAATCAAAGTTTTGTTTGGCACATTAAACCACAGCTGGCAATTAATTTGGCTTAGTTTAGTTTAGTGCACTTCCGTTGCGCACAGCGGCCATTTTGTCGCACCGCCATCGCCATCCGGATGGACATCAGCCATCCACCATCCGCCAGCAGTTGCAGCTCTGGCAGCGCTGGCGAATTCATGACCGCTCAAAAGCAGCTTTAGTTTTTATTACCATTAAAAGTGGGCGGTGCTTCTGCTGCCGCTGCCCCGCCCCCAAAACGAAAAACAGAATGTCGCTCATAACTCAAGGCATAAACACACAGAGACTGCATATGAGTGCTGGGGCTATGCACTCTGAAAAATATTATACGAATATTAATTAAATTATGTAATGGGGATTTTATTAAAAATATCTATCGAAGAAAATATTCGTGTTTTTATTCGTGTTTATGCCCAAAAGTATGCCACAATATTTTTTGAGTTAGGAATTACAGGGCTTTTATTCTGAAAAACCCCGTTTTATTTTTCACTGCATACTTTTAGGCAGCCTAATGAGTGACTTTCCTGAAATTGGTTTTCACATTAAACTTTAGCCTAATTAGGCTTAATTTTTTTAAGGCCAAATGGTATAGGTTAAATGGTAGATATTGTTTATTTTTTAACGTGCCTTGTAATTTTTTTACTACCCACCTAAACTTTATAAACCTTGTTCTGCTTGGTTTTACAGCTACAATTTTTATTTTCTCTGTGTACCTGTATGTGCCCCCTGCTGGCTCTTTCGGGGCAACGTGTATTTAACAATTTTGGCAATGCTCTTTGCTGGCATCACCTGAAATCCAGCCCTCGGCTGTGACCCTATTGTCCACTCCCCGGGTCAACGGCGGCTTTGAAAGCCAAAACTGAAATCAACTAACAACATTAACATGGCAAAGCAATTTCCACGCATCCAGCGAGGACGCGGAGGTGGTTGAGAAGGATGGGGATGAGGAGGACCCGGCTTTTGGGCCACACACAAAAGCAGACAATAAGCGAGCTCTCTTCCATTGGTGACGGCTCCAACGGTGGATGTGGATGCGGATGAGCCCAGTCGAGCCCGTGGTGGTGCTGGTGGTTATTGCATATGCACACACCACGCACGGCGACATGGGTTAAATAGGCGAGAGCCCAGCAGGCAGAGAGTGTGCCAAAAAAGAAGGACACACAGTCATGGGAGTGGGTATCCTGGAGTTGGAGCTGCATTTAGGTACTCAAGCGCCGTTGTCATAGTCATTTGCCATGCGAACGGGTTTCGTTTCGGGGCGGAGATGGTTTTAGGTGTGTTAGCTGGGCTACGGATCGGCCCTTTGGCTTTCCATCCAAACGCCGTCACATATGCTCCTAACGATAATAGTTTTCTGCGTAATTTGTTCGCCATTTTAGAGGAAGCTCCGTCGGATGTCGCGCTAAAAACTTGGCCCACGCATCGGATCCGAACCACGATTTTTGGCAGTAGGGAGTGGCTGTTTCCCGACGCTGCGTATAATTTAGTAGCCCAGCAGAGGACCCTGTGGGTGGGCGATTGCAAAGATAAATAGAAAGTGCACTGACAAAAAAGTGAAGCGTAAAGAAGAGGGAAGTTAAAAGACCGTTTCATCTTATTTCTTAAATTAAGTTTTTAACATTATCTTCTTAAACATTTTTATTCAGAAATTCCGATTGTCATAAAACCCGCATTTTTAAAGTATAGATTTCCTTACTTGTATTTTCCTTGTGAAGTGTGGGTTAGATATCGGTGCTGAGAGCGTCCTTTACTTGCCGACACTTTTCGCTTTGACTCGTTAAAATTCATTTCAATTTGGCCCTGCCCCGCTCCGCCTGCTGTCCACCGCCACCAATGGGTTAAGAGGTACTGGGATAGCAGGACTTTGTCTCTATCTCCGCACGTGTCACCGATGCCGCCGCCGTCGCCGCATCCTGCGTAGCTTTATAAACAATTTTGAATTTTGCGGTTGTGCGAAAATTAATGGATGCCTCGCTCTTGTGCGGTTTTTGGCCGCGCTTCCAGACACGCCCCCCTTCCCGCCGCCCCATTCCCTGCCGCCCCCGGCAAGTGCTGGGCAAATTTTAGCATTTTGTCATTAGCGTTCGCTTTTGCGAAAACGAGATTGTTGTTTGTCGTTGCGGCTGTGGTGCATCGCTGGTGGTGCGATTTTGCAGCTTAATGGCGAGTGAACTATACACGGAAAGGAAGATTATATTAAATTGAGAAAAAATATTAAAATGTTCCTTGTTCATTCGATGGAATATTTAACATGCAAAGAAGGTTATATGTTTTAAAATTTTAGGAAAAATGATTTTGAAAATGTGATTTTTTTTTTGGTATATGGGTAATAATTCCTAAAATTATTATAAGGATATGATTAAGATTCTTAATTTGGGATTTTATACTAGGTACGCCAATGAAGTTTTAAATTCAGTAATAAAATTGGAGGTATTTCGGTTGAAATTTTTCTTGTAAAGGTTTGGGAAAATTGGAAACAAAATAGATCTTAAAATCACAGCCGTAGGGCTCACATATTTTTCCTGTGCTTATTCAAGACAACCCGAGGGGAACAGAGTGCAATCAATTAATGCACCAGCCGACTCCGAAGAAGGCTCACACACATAAAATTGTTGGCCAAGAGTTTTGGTAGTGGTGGTGGTGGTGGTGGTGCAGCACGAGTGCAGCTTCCACATGCTTGTTTCTGTGAGGGTGAGTGTGTGTGTTATGAATAAGGCAGGACGAAAACTTGGGCTTTTGACTTTGGCAGCGCCAAGGAGTCGAGTCAGGCAGCCAGGCACGGTTAATAAAACAGACAAACACTCAAACTTTTGCTATAAAAATTTCGAGCTAGCGTGTGTTTGTGTGTCTGTGTGCGTGGAGGGGGCCAGAAGCGAGTTTTTTAAGTTGCCAGCGTTGTTTGCTTGCTAAACAAGTGCTATTAAAAGAGCATAAAAAGGTGGAAGGTGAATTGCGATTTGGGGAATGGGCCAATGGGAGATGGTAGATGGGACCAAAGACAAAGGAAACCCAGGCCAGCCTTCAGGCATCGTTAAGGTCCTGGTTGCAGGATATGCCCATCTCCTCCTCCCCCGATTCGTAATAAGCCCCGGCAAATCTTCATGCAAACTCCGAGTTTTTATATTTGGCAGCTTAGGTGCACTTCTGCATCTGTCCTTTTGACGTTTTTAATGCACTGCACACACAGAAAAAAAAAGAACAGAATGCATAAAAAGGAAACAAAAGCCGAAGGAGCAACTACATGATGCAGTGAAATTTTATGCGCTTAGTTTTTATTGCGGAATATTTTGCATGGCAGGGCAGTATAAAGAATTATCCACTAAAACTGCTGTAAAGTGAGTCAAGTGTTTGTTAAGAAGTACGGCCCGTTCCTAACTCAAGAGCCGCCCCAAACTTTCATCCCCCGAACCGACGACCCTTTTACGGTGCACCCAATTTCCGAGCTCGATGCGTTTGCCGTTTGTGCGGCCAACGGGGCGTATGAGTAACATGTGCACTTTATGGAGGGAGGGAGCGAAAAGAGGGGCCTATTTGTTTTATTTATATTTCAGCGCTGTGCCATTTTGAGCGCGCATATTAAACAGGACATGGCTGTGTGTGGCCATGGCAGCAGGACAGGCCAGCGGGCAGGATAACAGAGGCCCAGAGACACGGCCAAAGTGCAAAATGCAGTAAAATATTGAAATTGTACAGTTCCCGTTGTGCAATGAGCCGCAATGCCAGCGACGTTTCAGTGTTTCTCTCTGCATTTTTTTGTGCACTCACATGTGGGGAAAATTTTTGATTTTACGTGACTGGCATGCGACGATTGCAGCAGTGTCGGGGGCACTGGCAAAAATAAAATGGGGGATCGATTGTGGGCGGGTGACTTCGAAGCAGCTTTTCTCTTATTTCCAATTAGCATTGCAAATTCATTTGCAGTTTATCGGGCTGAAATAATTCCACGGAACCCTGGGTGGAAATTACCAATAATTTTAAATTCTGCATACATCCATTTTCGTGTTGAAGTTTGACAACTGACAATAAATCTATAAATATAAAGTGTAAAAAAAAATATTTAAAATAAACTTAATTAAGCTGTCTTACTTTATGCTAAAAAAATTACAAAAGTTTTTAAAAATCAATTATTGATTTAGTCGACAATAAAACTGTCTAATTTGTAAAATTACCTTTTTTGAAATCTATCCAATTGTCCTTCAACTCCGTCTTAATAGACTTTAAACTTCCGTTGAAATCTTAGCAACCCCCCAAGAAAATAAGAAGACGTCAAATCATTTGTTTTTAATTTTGTTTTTCTGTTTTTTGATTAACATTTTTCCATTTTATTTGATTATTTCTCTCTTGCTCGGCTGCAATCGCTGGCAGCGCCTTTTTCTATGCATATATTAACGTGTTTGCAGCCACACACTCAAGTGTGCTTGTGTGTGTGATTGTGTGGGTGTTGGTGTGGGCCGGTATGTGTATTTGTATTGGTATTTGTATTTGTGAGTTTGTTCCGGGGGCTTCGTTCGGTTTTGATTGAATTGGATAGGCTTTTGATAGGCGCTTAACATAATTATGGCATTTTGCTTGCACACTTTTCATAATTCTCTTTTTTTGCTGTACGTTTTTTATGCTTGTTTATATTTTTTCTTCTTCGATTTTTCCTGCTGCTGTCACAAATGCAATTATATAGCCGTGTTGTTGGGTTGGTTGGTTGGGTCTGATGGCGCTATTTTATGATCTATCATATGTCTGCGCTGGGCCTTTGCAAAAACAGATGCTCTCCTGCAGCTTTGTTTGCACTCGGCGCTTTTTTTACATTTATATGCAAATATTAATACAATCTTCTTGTTAGTTAGTTTGCCTTTGTTATGCGCACATATTTCTTGTTTTTAATTATATGTTTTTTTTATATATATCTTTTTTATATATTTATATGTACATACACAACATTGAATCATTTATTTATATTCCTTTTGCTTACACCATAACTATGTTTACATAATTAAATATAATTATGCTATTATGTATATGTCGTAGAGTATTTCTGATTTTTTCCATCCATTTCATTATATTTATTTCGTAATTTTACCATAATTTTCCAACATTTCCAACATATGTTCAGCTACAATTTTATTTAATTTCCATTGGTTTCTTCATATAGTTTTTATTTATTTATATTTATATATTTATATTTACGCATAGCTTGTTCTGACACACAGTTTTCTTGTCTGCTCAAATAACATTTAGTATATATATATATATGTATGTATATATATAGGTGTATATATATAGATTTGTATATATGTAAAGTGATGCATTCGTCGATGCACAGTTTGTCGTTGGCCTTCAAAAACACGTTATGCCAAGTTGAAAAAATAAATCAGTTTCCTTTGTCCGTAACATCGATTTGCTCTCATCACAACTTATAGAAATTAGACTGGCTTCATCTTGGCTCTTCATCTACCTCGATTATCCAATTGAAAGTTCTCTAATTTTGATTTATCCGTTTTTCCATTTTGAATTTGTTTTTCTCTCGATTTTTGGTTTTCTTTGGTATGTAAAAAATAGTTTACAATTTGTATTCGCTTCGTTTTCCGTTCCTTAGCCATTTCGCCTTTGTAAATACCATAAATAATTGTGTTTAGGTTTACATTTTAGTGTATAGTGTTACAGTTACGCTTACGATTCTTAGCTAAACATTGACTACATTTTGTATTTTGCTTTTGCTACACGTTTTCCTTTCATATCCTTTTCTAAATATTTCGCTATTTCCTTAGTTTCTTATAGGTTTCCCTTAATACATTTACACGTTACACAAACACAGATACATGAATAAGGTTCCTTATGTGTGCGTGTGTGTGTGTGTGTGCGTGCATGCGTATGCGTGTGCCAGTGTGTGTATGTGTAGTAGCCTCTTCTATGGATATCGTTTAGGATATATAGTTTTATCTAGTCATGGGTCCGTCTACATATATATCTATGTATATATATTCTCTGGCTCGATCGATCCGTTCTGTTTTCGATTTTCGGTTTTCAGTGCAATTATCTACTCGATTTCTGGTGTGTTTTCTCTTTTGGGTTTGGTTTAGTTGTCGGTGCTTAACTCAGTTAGTACATTTACTTTGATATTTCTCTAGATAATGCTGGATAAACACTCATAATCGTGAATCAACTGATCGAAGCCTTGATTACTTGCTAATTCTTAGGCCTATGCACGTCGATATATCGGTAATGAAATGATACTATTGGGAAATAATCGGTTCCTTATGAATTTCATCGAATATGAGTCAAAATTTCCAAAATGAGTTCTCAGTCAACGAAACAGTTTCTCTTAACCTTTGTTTGGTTTTTCTTAACCTATGCTTAAGTATTAGTTTCCAGTTTGTTATGCCTTCTTTTGCCAACTGAAAAGCAAGCCCTGGTAAATCAAAACCACCTCCTTATAGCACCCACTCTATTCTTACTCTGGTATATACATACCTACATACTCGTGTATATGTTTATACCTACTAAAATACATTTAGAGCTTCTGGTTTTTATATTTTACTTTTCTTTTTTACTGAAGCGACTTCCTCGAACCGCAGGAAAGCCCCTCAAAAATAGACACAAATAACACACATTCATAACTTTGGTTTTAGGGTTAACCATTTCGGTTTTCGATTGATTAGATCAACTTTGGATTATGGCTATTGCACTGGCTGGCCTGTGTGGTTGCTGCTGTCGCCATTTCGAATACTTAATCTACGGTTAGATTGGGTTTACGTGTGTTCCTGTTCCTGGCCAATAATGCTGCTTCTTTTTACACTTCGGGCATGCCATAAACCTGGGCCACTGGTGGTTGTTGCTGCTGCTGTGCTTGTTGCTCGTTGTTTGCGACCTGCTGCTGCTGCTGCTGTTGCTGCTGTTGTTGCTGCTGCTGCTGCACCCAGTGCGATGGATAGTACAGTTGGGGGATATAGTGTTGCTGCTGCTGCTGCTGGTGATGCTGGTTGTGGGACTGCTGCTGCTGCAGTTGTTGATGCTGCAGCTGCTGCGATTGGTAGGGCTGCTCCTTCACATACTCCCCGGACGTCTGCTGCTCATGTTGCTGCTGCAGCTGCTGTTGCTGCTGCTGTTGCTGCTGCTGCTGCTGTGTGGGATACATGGCCATCCCTCATGGCAGCTACACGAGCAAACTGGGCGCCAGCCACTCGTCCTCCGCCAGCTAAACGATTCACAATCGTTAGGCACCGCCATATCATAATCATCGCAATCGGCGAGCACTCACCTGTGGACTGACCTGGAACTGCTGCATCGGATAGGCAACCACTCCGGCCGCCTGTGGCAGTGCGCTGCCCACGCTCTGTGTGATCTGCGGTGCAGTGGCTGCCGCTGCACTGGCCAGCTGAGGCTGGGGCGGCACACTCTGCCAGGTGCCCGGCAGCTGGACGCCCATTCTGAAACGGAGCAGGAATACAAACGTATAATTAGTTGTACCCCTCAATAAGTCGAAAATAATAGGATCCGAACTAGCAAAATTTATGTTTTACTTTACTTCTACTGTTTTGCTGAAATAGTAAATGGTTTTTACTTTAATTGTTTGGTGTGTTTTAAATGGGGTTGGAATTCAATATAAAAATCTGGTGTTTTGTTAGGATATTGATCTTGCGGCAAAATCATAAACTTTTCTTCATGTTTTTATTACGAAATTTGTCACAGCTACTAGCAACCTAAGCTATCAATCCACATAACTTTTTAAAGGGTTAAATTTTTTTAATTTTCACAATTTTTTTTTTTACAAAATCTGAAAAGTTTAAATTCTTTAGAGTTGAAAGCCAATCGATAGGGAATTTTATTACGAACTCAACGAAATTCTGTGTTGGAACAACTTGTCTCTTAGTTATAGATACAAATACTGCTAATTTTTTAACAAAAAGTTCGGATTATGGATTTAAAAGACAGGATTTTTGTTTTGTGCGTTTTTGAGATTTTTTATTAGAACATTATAAGTAACTAAGAATATTAAAAAAAAAATGTGGTATTCAAAAAGAATGCAACATACATTTAGTTTTGAAAGCCCCTCGCTCTTGGTAACGCCTCTGAACTTACCCCATGTATCCCGCCTGCTGGTAGCCGGCGAATTGACCGTAGGTGAATCCCTGCATGCCCTGCAGGAACTGGCCTGGCTGAAGGGCGCTGGCGGGGGCTGCCGCCGGATATGTGGGTGCTGGCGGGTACCAGTATCCGGCCACCTGCTGTCCGTAGGCAGCCGCTGCGGCCGCCGCTGCCGCCGAGCCGAAGGGGAATCCCTGGGCCAAGGCCCCGCCGGCGATGGCCGACATGTGGTTGGGGTCGCCGCTCTCCTTGCCCCACGCACACTTCACCGGCTGCTGGTTGATCTCCGTGTTGTTCACGGCCACGATGGCGTGGGTAGCCGCCTCCTTGGTGGAGAAGCTATGGGGTTACAGAGAAAAATAATATTGGTGGTTAACAATAAATTTTCTGCTCATATCTGATGAAAAAAGCTGTCATGTTTCAAATACATCCTTGTACAAAATATGATAAAATATTTTACATATTTTTATATTGATTTTTATGGATAACCTGAGATTTTATAATGATCTAAACTAATGGGTTTATCTTTATTATTGTTTTGCATAGGTTTCCTGTCTTTTTTTTTTTGTTAGCAGTCAGCAGATTGGCCTGGTTTAATTTCCGCTTAACCCGCTGCGGCAACAAAGCGCAAAAGTGGTACAAGCGTCTGTGGAATTGTTTCGTTGTTGCTGGATTGGTTATAATGATGCAGCAACTCTGCCACAGCTGCTGCTGCACTTGTAGTCCCCGAGCTCATTATGTTACAAAATGCCAAACAATGCCTCCGCTTCGCTTCAGTCGCCCCTCTTTCGCCCACTTTCTCCCTGGCTTTCTTTTCCCCCATGCCGCCTTTTTTTGCATCACGTTTGCAACACACAAATGAGTTTTGGAGCAGTGCACAAAAGGCGCCCATGGACATGGCCAGCAACTGCAATGCGTTTGTTGCCCGCCCTTCGCTCTCATCACACTTCACAGGTACACTTGGAAAAAAATACATTTCATAAAAAAATTAATTAGTTTTTTAGTAACTATAGATCATTTTCTAAAACTATTTATAATGTATTATTTCTTAAAGAACATAATTTTTATTTGTAAAAAACATTGATTGCATTGATTCATTTACTTTAAATACATTCAATTTGTAAAAATATTAATGAAACAGGAAAACCTCTTAGATTTAAGAAACTGATTTAAATACCATTATTTTTTGATTTTTTTTATTGTTTTCTTAATTTTTGTACCTTTTCTGGATTTAGTAATATTTTGGCTTAGTGAACGAATCCTATCCGTTTCTGCCCTTTTGGTTGCGGTGGGGTGAACTCAGTCCGTCGTGGGCCAACGGCTGCCATTAAAACCCTATCAGCATTCGTGACGGCAGCTGCGATCTCCACCGCCAACACCACCAGCACCACTGTATATCCAGCACCACTGACTCCTTGGTACGGTTTTTTGCTCGCTTGTACCATTTTTCCTTTTTTTCCCCCCTTTTTACTCTTGGCCGTACCATCGTTGTCATCCCTGTTATTGCGGTTCATTGTTCTGTTTGTAACTTCAAATTTGCCTCCCGTTGTTGTCGTTGTTGTTGCTGCTGTTGCAGTTCTTGTTATTGTTGTCGAGTGTAAAAGTGTTGTTGATTTATTAACGGCGGGCGGTTTGGATGGGGGCCACAAACACTCGCACACTCACACACATACTCGGCGACAATGACAATGGGAATTCAGCGATGACACCGCAGACCGCCGCACACGCACACTCACACAATCAAACGGCAAATCAAAATGGCTGGCAACAAAGGGTTAATGTAGCACACTTCTAGGGGCACACAAAATGGGGGAAAGAGTAGGGCGACTCATTGACTGCTCTATTATTTGATCGATTTCTTGATCGCTTTTTCTTAAGATGTACTCAAAAAAATGGTATAGCCATAGTTAAAAAATGTATAATATGATAAAATAGTTACAAGTTGATTTGTAATAAATTCTGTTTATTTATTTTCAACTAGACTTGCTATATTCTCAAACCAAAATTAAGAAATATTTGTAAAAGATATTGATATTTTTAAATATATTTAGTATGGAAAAGAGAGTACCTATAGCTTTTATTTTTTTTTTTTTGATATTGATCCTCATTTTCTCTTTTCATTTATCATTCTCTGATCTCCTAGTACTTTTTTCCCAGTGCACCTGTCAACTTACCGCACAAATGCATATCCTTTGTCCTTGAAGACCCGTATCTCTTGTATTGTGCCGTAGGGCGAGAAGGTCTTCTGCAGTATCTCCTCGTTGAGGAAGCCGGAGAGGGCTCCGTTGATGCCGCCACAGTAGACAGTGCAATTGGTGGGGCTGCTCTGATTGTAGACCTCGTCAAAGGTCAGCGGCTTGGCGTTCACTGCAATGGGGAGCATCAAGATGTGACAATGAGATGCGGGATGGACTGGTGGAATGGCTGGGATGGGATGGATACTCACTGTCTGCCTTGGTTGCCGGCGGCTTTCGTGTGGCCCAATTTGTGCGTATCGAGCGCGAGCCCAGCCATTGGCCATTCATTGCAGTGATGGCGGTTTCCGCCTCCTGCAACGGGACAAATTAAACGGAGAGCGCAATTAGCTAAAAGCCCATCCCATTTACGCGGGTTTGTCTAGCCGCTTAAGCCGCTTACAGCGGCTGCTAAGTCGGCTCCCAAAGACTTCCACTGCTTTTTCAGCGAGGCCAAGCCGAAATTTATAAACAAACAGCTCAGAAAGTGTTAAGGAAAGAGCATCAAAAATAGCGGCACACTCGGAAAAATATAATTGTTCCTTAATTATTGGAAAAGGATTAATAAAAGCTATTTCACTGAAGAAAATAAAATTTGTTAATTAAAACTTTTTTATTTAATTTATTTGTTTTTGAAAAATATATAAAATAATTGTTTTAGAATATTTTTTTAAGCTTTTATTTGGAAAAAATATAAGATATATTTAGATAACAAGAAAAGTCTACAGGAAAAATGTTTTAAAGCTAAAATTTCTAAGAATTATATTTTTAAAAATCCCCATAAATTCTTTAAGTGCTCAGGCAGCTACAAAAAAATAAAAAAGACATGGGAAAACAATCGCGTTGGCTGGAAAGTTGCTCCTTGTGGTAAGCAGGCGACATTGTTGCTGCCGCTCTTTGATATTCCTTGGCTGTGTTTGGGCAAAGCAAAGTAAAAGGAAAGTAAGAGCGGTGGAAAGTGGGTGGTAACAGGGTGTAGGGAGTGGGAGGCTATATACGTAGCATTTACAAGGCCGTGCACAAATTATAATTTCAATTTCGCATAAAAGGTAATTCGTGCGTATCAAACGTGATTCATGCCGAAATGATTGCAACTGCCAGAAGGTCTTGCATGCAGTCTGCCTTTCAATGTGTGTGTGTGTGTGTCGGAAGGGCGAGTGTATGTGTGTGTGGTGAGCGTTTCATAGCAATTTACTTGCGGCACACCAAAAGACCGAAGACCGAAACCGAGTGGAGCCAGCTAAAGCAATGCAATGCAATAATGGCATTTGCGGCGCTGCAGACGCTGCAGCTGCTCATTGCACGTCCTTTAAATGGCGCAAAGTCGAATCCGCATCCGCATCCGGCTACGACTGCGGCTGGCAGCAGCAACTGTAACTAGGCACCTACGTACAACAGCCCACCATCCACCCACCCACCTTTCCCCTCTTTTTTTCCATTAATTTTCCTACTCTTTGTGGCGGCTACGTGCAACGCTCGAAATCAGCGTTGACGTGCACCGGCTGAAAAACGACGTTTTCAAACCGAAACAAGACTCGAACTTTACGAGCGAGAAACTTTCGAGGGCTGCTCAAGAGCAGATCTCATTCGTGAGGGTCTGTAATTGCTAAGCACTATAAAAGCTTATCCTTATTTTCAACTTACTTAAGCGATCCTTAGTATCAAAGGATCTATTGTTTCTGGTAGAAGAATGTAAGGTAGCAGAGTTCTAACCAGAAATACTTCATATTATTATGTATATCTTATCAAGTGAAATATTAATGTAATAAATACGGACTTCTGATAAGAGAAATGTAATATATTTATTACGTATATCAGACATATAAGTTTTAAATCCGAAAAATGCGAATTAAAGTGAAAACAACTTTGAGCGTAATATCGCATTAAAGACTTTTGTTGTATGTACAATGGCTTTTGCATGGCTCTTAAATTCCCTCAGCATAAATTGCTGTGTATTGGTTTTCTTGGGCCTTTAATTTAACCACTTGAGCAAAAGTCAACAATTGAGTGCTTGCCCCGTCAGCGATAAACCACGCAACTGTCGCCCAACTTTGGCCGTAATTTAATGTCTGCATGTGTGAGTTGTATCAGGGTGTGTGTGTGTGTATGGTATATGTGTGTGTGTTTTTTGTACAAGTGTGCGTTTGTTCCCGGGCAACGTCGCTCAGTTTGCGTGCGTGCGCATTTTTATGCATTGCCAGTTGCATTTTTCATATTTGCATAAACTATAAATTTTACATTTTTTAAGCGATACGCATCGTTGATTACATATACACTCACGTCCCCTTACAGCAAATGCCACAGCAACAACAACAACGGGAATGGCAACCACAACAAGAACAAGTCCAGCAAACAATACCGCAACAATATATATATATACATATCCCTCGTCCTGCGATTTTCTGCCGGGCATGAAATGTTATTTTAAATATTTCACCATTGACTTTACGGCAGCTTTAAGCCTGGCATTTTCCCCCCATCCGACTGTTTGGTCCCTTTTCACAGCGGGAAACATCATTCAGGACTTATCAAAGGACAGACACATCAAGTGCAGTTACAAGTGCCTTCCCTTCTTCGGCTTTTTCTTTTCTTTGCCAATTCCAATTGCAATCGCATGTGTCAATGAAAATTGTCTTGCCATGATTGTGTGAGGATTAGAGGAATGAGACAGGGCGATTGTTAGAACAACTTTGGCCAGGGCTAATGCAATGGCCAGAAAGTCCAGACACACACAAACACACGGAAAAGCTTGTACTGAGTGCAACGGACATTTTTGGTCGAGTTTTTCCAGTTTTCCCCAGCTTTGACAAGTCTTTGAAGTCAGCAAACTTTATCAATCATTTTGGTGGTAAATTGCTTAGAAAACAGGAAGTGGATGCTTGTGTAAGGCGAAAGAAAGTTAACAGAATAATGGAAACTAATAAAAATGGTGAAATGTAATGATAGAAAAATATATATTGTGTAATAATAAAGCTTTAAATGGTTAAAATATTAAAAAAAAATTAAACGTTGCAGGATCAAACCAGTTAAAAGTTCACTAAACTGAAGTTCGCACCTTAAGTTAATCCCTTTCGATTCGGAAATCCCCAAGCACCCTTAATGAGTTGATTATAACACAATTCCGGGGCTCAAGAGTCTCTCGAGTAATTTACCAATTCATCTTGCTCAAAATGGAACCTCGACGACCGCAATATGGCACCCACTACGACTTGTCAAACTATTTATGAAAGTCGTGGGCCCCGAAAGCCGAAAACCGAATCGAAGCCAAAACTGTTGTTGGCAAGAACGTCTAAGCTAATTGCAAATCTACGGCATTGGGTCAAGAGGCTGACTGCAGAGGCAGACGACAATGGAAACTGTTTTCGGGGTTTTGGCCCATACGCCTCATTGGCAGTTGGAGCGACACATTTTCTTTGTGTGCGGCTTTGGCTGTTGTTTCGGCTGGGAGAAATTAATTAATGGTGAATGGCAAATTTGCAGCTAATAGGAGGAAAACTTGAATCGTTTTCTGGTCTGTAGCTGTGACAACCAGTTAGGTTTGCACAGAAAGAAAAATAGTTTGATTAAATCACGAATAGATTTGATTTGATATAATTTTTTCCTTGTATCTCACTAGTTCCTCTTTCTGTACTGATTCACAAATTAATTCCCCTTTGATTAAAAGTTCAGGCCTTCGTCGAAGTTTTTCCTTGTCGCTGGAAAATTTCCTAAATGACAACTTCCGCTTTCGAGATAACTTAATTAATTTTCATGGACATGGCTGGCTGGCAAAACTTTTCCGCCGCGCGACACTCAAATTTAAGAACATTTTAGCCGTTGCGTACAGATTGAATTTTCAGGCGAAACTTGTGTAAAGTCAACTGAGACCGAGAGTTAGGGCGCTGGGTCTTTTGTAAATATTGATTACTTGATAAGGCGCAGAATCCTTTAATGCTGCGGACCATGGCTAACAACGGAAATGGGTTGGATGGAGGACCAAAATTTTGGAAGGGGGGCTCAAGAAACAAGACCAAAAAGGCGAAATACCTTCATTAAGCGAATGAAGAAAAGCAAAAGTAAGTTGAAGAATTTTTAAGTGGTTTAAAAGGGTTTTGTCATACTTTTCATGTGGATCTCTCATCTCATCTCGTCTCGACCCGACCCCTTTATCTTATGGCCACAAAATGGGGGCTGCCGCTGGTTGCGGCTGACGTTTCGTGTGTATTTGGTATTTGGTATACAAAAAACACCGTAAGCCGAGAGCAAGACATTTTAAATGTTTATTAAAACAATAAGGAAATGGTTTGTGCCGCAAAACGGAAAAAGGCCAGGCGGAAAAGGAAAAACTGTAGCGAAAGAAGGTGAAAAAAGGCAAGCTCAACACACACAAAAAGGGGATAATCCCCCCTACCAACACATAGACACCCTGGCACATGGACACATTCGCATTCAGGGAAAATACGAAAATAAGAAGGTTCTGGCTTTGGCTTTGGCTTTTCTCTCTCGGCGACCGTTTTGTCTTAAAAAGGTAGCAGACGCCCCAGTATTTAGTGTGTTGGCCCCTTCTATATTTCTTTTCCTTTTCGGCTAAAAGGTTTTCTTGCCTTCGTAGCTCCTAAGCCGGTTTAGCTTTGTTCTTCGGTCAGATTCATTAACGTGGCTATTTAGATAAGCGTGAAAGTAACCAACCATCCCCAAACCCCAAGTTGAATATTAAAGCTGTCCAGATAAAACTCCAACTCAAACCCGAGACTCGCAGTTCCGATGATGATTTTTTGATATTTATAAAATAACTCAAGTGGCAAATCGTTTGCCCAGTGGAAATGCCCGTCCATTTGCCGACTTCTTCTTGTCAAACGATAATGATGGCCAGCATGATGATGTTCTGATGTTCTTATGGTGGTGGTGGAATCATAGCCAGCAGATAAGGCCCAGTCATCTTTGAATCTGTCTGGCCCAGTCAACGGTAAAAACTGTTTTCATTCCGCTTAGGCCCAAAACGCTTTTCGATTTTTGACCACACACACACACATCCATGATTCGGGTTTGAGTTTTGGGTTGTGGGCGGGAATTGTTGACCAAAAAATCAGTATTTCACGCTAGAACGCATTTTTGTCAAGGCATAATAATTCCATGGGATTTATTTATGTATGTATGTCAGTTCTGGCCGTTGTTTCTCATTCCCATTCGGCATCCATCTCCCCGTCTGCCCCTCACATTTTGCACATTTTTTTTATAGTTACTGCCTCCGAGCTTTGAGCTTATGCGTGTGTAGGCAGTTTGTAGGCCCCCAAATCACTAGTTCCTGAATTATTATGGAAAGCATAAAATGAATGTCCAGGCCATTTATATTTATAACCGAGTTTTGTACGCTTCAGCAAATTTATTGCCTGGCTTGAAATTAAATAAATTGAAAAGGGGGGAGAAACTTTAAAGGGCAAGTGGGGACTAAAGGGAAATATATTAAGAATAGGTATTGAGAAATGGACAAGAAATCTGTTTGATCAATTAGCTGTGATATCTGCATGTGTTTTGTGACAGAGTAGGGTCAATTAAGGTCTAATTGATTTATTTTCTTGAGGAAGTTATAGAGGATTTTTAGGGAAATCAAGTCTGAATACTAATAGATATTTGTTGAGAAAATTGTAAATCTTTAATGGGGGAAAAAATATATGAGAAATAAAACTTAAGGACTTATTATGCTGGCGAAATATTTAAAATCGAAGGGGATATTTTTTGGGAAAGCCGTCTATCTTTAATAAATTATTCCTTTTAATAAGCAAAATGATATTAATGATACTTTACACTCAAAAAAAAATTTTAGAAAATCGCCTATGGATTTGCTTTACTGGCGATTTTTTTCTATATTTCTGGAATATTTCTTGAATTTAATGAATTTTGATTAATTGGAAGAAAATTTTCTTTACCAGTAGAAAATTTTTTTATTTTAAAGAAAAAAATCGCCAGTGAAGCAAATCCATAGGCGATTTTCTAAAATTCAGGGCGATTCATTTTCTGAGTGTAAGAACAGGCTTATAGCATCGGAGGGGTTAATCAATCTCCTGGCGGTTGATGATACAATATTTCTCATATTTTTGGCTCTGGCAAGACGGCACGTAGCGCAAATTAAGGCCAATGTATGCGGAATGCTTTTTAATTTAAGTGCACATGCACATGACAAGGCAGCCAGCAGGAGCAACACGCAACGGAATCATAAAAGAAACATCACAACTGGCATTGGAATGGGTGGTGCGGGTGGTTTGGGTGGTTCTGGGTGCTGTGGGTGGGTTGTCTGGGGGTGGTGCGAGGTTAACCACAGGCATTCTGAGCTCCGCGACAACGGCAGCAGCGACAACAATAAGAACAAATGATAATAATGCAACAATGAACTGCACAAGAAGATGATGAAAAGAATGAGGGGGCGTGGCCGGGAAGTCGACATTATATCTTGTTCGCTGCACACATTGTCAATTCGTTTGCCTTCTCGTCCTGCAGCTTTTTTGTTGCCCCGCCCACTCCCTTTTTGTTGTGGCAACTTTTAAATAAATTTAAGTGCATTATACAACGAAAAATCTGTCGTGGAAAAGCGACAGAAGCGAAGGCGGTGGGGAGTAATGCGATTAAATGCATCTCGGGCCCTGAGCCTCTGCCTTTGTCTCCATAACGCTGGCAAATCAGTTTTGCGTCAAAAAGAAAAGCCACTCAAGATGCAGCAGGCGGTGATTTCCTTTTTGCTGAATTTCCTGATCTTTTTTCCTTTGCCATGTGAGTATGCAATAATATGTTAATATGCCTCGGCTGTGTGACAATAACAGGAGCCGTCGACAATGGCGGCAGACATTAGCATTTCGGTTGGAGCTCAAGGAGCAGGAAGTACAGATGCACAGGAAGAAAAATGATGGTCCTACATTAGTAACTTTTAACACACCTATCTACAAAAACCAGGTATAGGAATTAAATGAAATTAACATTAATAAAAAAGCGAATATAAATCTCCAGTATTTATCGAATCACTTCAAAAGGTGCTTTAAAGTATGCAACAAAATATTTTAAATCTTACTTATTACAGCATACTTTTAGCCACTTTCCTGATAAACATAAAGTACATAGCGATATGATAGAAAAATGTTTATAAAACATAAAACTGATATTAAACGTGTTTACATTTTTCTCTCTGTATTCTCCTCCTGGCATCGACATGTTTATTGCGTTTAATGTTTGCGTAAATTTTTTCGTACTTGCTGTCTTTCTTGCTGTTGTTGTTGTGATTTATGATGCTAATGACACGCAGACAGGCATCGTCTTCCCGAGTAGAAGAGCTTCTCCCCATGCAAATGCTCAGCTTGCCTTGATGGTTATTAAATTATGGCAATTTGTATGCGTCGCACAGGAGGAACAACAAAAAAAATATATAACAAAAAAAAATAAAGGGAGTAATGGCAGCCGGAGAAGATGTGCTGGTGTTTATTTAAAACATGTTGCCAAACAATTTGCGTTAAATATTTCTAGAGATGCTTGAGCGGATTTGGCATTTCGGCATTGGGTTTATGCAAAGCCATGGCGATTGGCAAAATTTCATGCGCCGGCAAACGGAAGTGCTGAATGAAAGAAAACTGTTTCTTCCTTTTCCGCTTGCAGTTGCCATTGCACACACTCATGTGTGCGAGTGTGAGTGCAGTAAGCCATTCGAAAAATAACTTTTCAATTTCCGCAAAACCACAGAAAATATCAACTTTGCACAAAAATTTAATAAAACTTTTCGCATAAATAAAATTTGCATTAAATCAGCTGCAAGCGACGCCGGGACTCTGGGACTCAGGGACAAGGGGGCGTGGCGGCTTAGGGCGTACGACTGTGTACAAAACGCATGTCGAGAAACTTAATTTGAAATATTTGAGTTTGCTATTTGGTCTGTAAATGTGTGTGTGTGCATTTGTGTGTTTGCACTTCTTCCTCTTTTCGTTTGCATCGAAACTAATCGAGAAAGTTCGAAAATTGGCATCCCATTCCCCACTTGCAGCACAAAAAGTTAACTAGTTAGCTGGGGAAAAGCATTAAGTATACGCCGCATTGGCCATAATTCCAACTAAAACAAGTCAGTTGCCAAAAAGGCTTCGAGCGTAAAGTTCGACTTTGGCTTAAATATATCTTTCTGTCTGTCTGTCTGTCTGTGTGTGTTTAATATCTACACGGCTGAATGACAGCTGGGGCGGGGGCAAGGATGGGGGCGTGGCAGCAGCCAAGTGTCAGAGATTATGTTGTATTTGCACACGACACATTCCAACGCAAATCCGCGCTCATCTGCTCGATGTCAAACAAATCATTGGCTTGCCTGCCAAATTATTGGCCCGTGTCTGGCGCACACTTCATGGCATTAGCATTAAAATTTAATTAATAATTTGGATTTTGATTTTGAGCATTTTGCCATTTTGCCGCCTAATTGACTAGTAGCAGCACCTTTGGCTTTTACGCCTTCGCCGGCATTTCTGATTTGGCTTTTCCACGAAGTAGATATGAGTGTAGATCTCCGTGTGAGGCTGTTTGATTTTGTGTTCTAAGCCTTAAGCTTGCGCATTTTTTCTGCTCCACTGACTGGCAATCTGCTCCAATTCGTTTGGCTTTGGGCTGCCTTCTTTGATGATTTAAACCGCGTTTATGCCTTGAATTTTATGAATTCTGAATTAAATTATTTTTGTATGTAATATTTTTTCAAATACAAAATACATTTTAAGCTGTAGAGTAAAGTTTCTTATTCAGAATGCGTTCTATAAAATTTCTTAACCAGAACTTTTTGTGAAAAGATTTAACCACAAGGACCTCACATAAACTTGCTTAAAGTCGCTGTCTTTCGGTTTCTTGGGCTCTTTTGTCAAATTTTCTACCTATTAGGCACATGAAATTCAATCACAACACAAACACACACTGGGATACACTGGGTTATGGGACATGGAGTCCTGCCAGCAGTTACTTGGACCCTTATCAGTTGCGGTTTAAACATATTGAATATGATGTGTAAATGTTTACAGTGCCCCCAGGGGTGGTTTTCTTTTCCAGCCTCGGGAGCCCGTGAGATTCGCTGCATCTGTGGCCATAAAAAACATTACAGATTCGTGAGCCGCACGCTTTTGATATACGAGTGTGTCCATGAGGAAGAGAATAAAATCAAATACTCGCCCCCTGGCAGTTAACCAGTGGCGTAGAGAAAAGGAAAAGCGGAATGCATTAAATCTTAAAAATGTGTGCGCTTCGTTTGGTTTTTCCTTGGCTTATGTATATCTTAAGCAAACGAAGGGGAAAGGAAATATATGCGAGAGAGTGTAGGTGGGGATGTGTGGGGTGTAGGAAAGGAAAAGCCACAGGTGTCTTTTGATATGTTAAGTTGCTGGGACGTCAACCGGGATTTTAGCTAAAGTTTCCACTTGTTTTAATTAAGATTTCATTCGAGCAGCTTTGTGTGTGCGTATGCTTACTTAGAAAATTAAACTTGTGTAGCGACTAATGCGAATTTGATTGAAACATTCACTAATTGCCGCCGAAAGGAAGCCTTTGATGTTGCTGGGATAAATCTGCTGGCATAGCTTACCGATTTCTTCACAAAGCTGACAAAGCCATAGCCCTTTGATTTCAATGTCTGCGGATCACGCACAACTCTGCAGTCTCTGAAAGAAAGAAAGGGAGAAAATATAAAAATATTTAATCTTGAGAATAAAACTTTTTTGCTCTGATGAGAAGGGGAAACAATTAAAATGTAATTTATTTAGGTAATTTAGAGTTATCTGTTTTATGTTTATACACTTTTGACCCAGGAAAGGTCTTCTAACTGGGATAACAGGACCCTTGAGCAAATTAAAAGGCCAGCGTTTGGCCAAAGTAAAAGTCAAGAAGCAAAGTCGATGTCGACATTGGAAATCCAATGGAATTACGTGTGAGGAAATATGAAGCGGTGGGCAAACGGGAAAGGGATTTCGTAAGTGGAAGTGCAGAGATATAGAGTGCAGGCCACCGCCTTGCCTTTTCCTTTAAGGGTGTATCAGAGGGCGTGGCCAAAGGGGATTTGCTGCGGCCTCCATTCCCCATTCTGCGTTCTCCGCTCTCAATTCTAAATCCCATTCCGAAAGCCATTCCGTAACCCCGCCAAACCACCAAACCACGTGTCGTGCCATGTCGTGGACGCTGCTCGAGAATCGGGCGTCAGCATTCGGCTTAAATATGTTGGCCCGTCCAACCTAAGCCACGAAGAAATATTTAGCCCCCTCCACCACCCCCTTTGGGTTCGACAGTGTGTGTGTGTGGGCCAACCGCAACAGCAACAACAAGCTGGCGGAGCAACTAGGCAACCAGTTTGGGCCACTCCAAAAAACATGGTGTTCTCTTAAGATAAAAAAAAATGTAAAAGCGTTATGAAAACCAAAATTGGGAAAAATAATTATTTTAAATATATTTTTTTATAAACAATTTTCTTCCAAGATTTGTCTTTTTTTAAATTAATAATTTCTTCAAATTAAATACTTTTTTTTTTAATTTTAATAGAACTTTGTACAACAATATTATGTTCCAAAATATATTCTTCAATTATTTTCGCATATCTTTTTTTTGAAAGTGCACTAGAAGCCGGGAAGGCAAAGCCCGCATGTCGACCACGGCATTTAAAAAAGGCCAACTTGATTGTAAATCACGATAAAAGTCAATTTTTAATATGAGTTTTAGTTTAGACCGTGTTCTCCCGCCCCATGCCCACATCCCACCCACCATGTTAAGTGGCCGGCGAAAAAAAAACAGAACCGTATTTTAATGGCCTTTGGCGCTTTGGCTTTGGTGGCGGCGCTGCAAGGTTGTAAATTTATGGGTGGGCCGGCCAGAAGCTAAATTGCAATGCGATTGCCAGCGAGATTCAGTCGATGCACACACATAAATATCGAACAAAAAACATATTTAATTAAAGTTTAATATTTATTAGCTACCAGAGGAATTCGGCAGCAATTGCTCGGGGCCAGGCCGAGGTTTGTCTGGTTTGGTCAGGCGAAAGGATTTTCGACTGGCACGCAAACCAGCACACAAACACGGCATGCTAAAGCACCAATACAAAAGGGTTAACAAACACTCAATGTGTATTTAAATACACGTTGGAAAAAAAAAAATATAATAAATATATAACAAGTTTTAGAAGAACAGGTGTAACATAATTTTTAATTTTATAATATTAATCAATCATTAAAATTTCAAGAAATATTATAAATAAATATGATTTTCTCTCCAAAATTATTTGTTAGATTTGTTCATTAAACCTTCCCAAACAAATCAGAATTATCCAAAAAATATGTTCTCTGTACAAAAGCCTGCACACATCCTGTCAGCGGGACTGACTGCCATTGGGAAGGATTGTGCTAACAAATTAAAGGCCAGAACAGTATGTGCACTCCCTTTGGGACCTACCACCTCCCACCGCCCACCACCCCTTCCCCGGAGTATATCATATTTCACAATCGATAAACATCACAGTTCATATTTTCATAACGTTTTTGTTTGAATATTTTAACATGCAGACACAAGAAGAGCAGCGGGTGGAGGTATACAATTTCCTGCTTGCATGTAAATACAAGTTCGAAAATGTCTGCAAGAGCTCTTCGCCTTGGAACACAGCCCCTTCCCCTTCCTCCACATTCCACATCCACATCTCAGGGGCTGCAATAATATATTTGAACATTTAACAGAAAACAAACACAACCTTTGTGCCTCGGGCCAAGAGATTTCCGTGGAGGAGCATCGATGGCCCTCGAACTGCGTTCGCCACACAGTTTGTTATCATGCACGAAATGTTTGGAAAATTTCATGCAACGGCTGCAGCAATGTGGGCGGGGCACAGGGCTTTTGGGGGCGTGGCAGCAGCTGCGCCCAATGTTTGTCCAAAGAATTGAGCGACGAAGTCGATGGGGAAAGTGTGAGGCGCTCGGGAGATGCAAAAGACAACTGCGAAATGAGGATTTCTTTGGCTGAATTTGATATGCCCTTTAAATATCATTTAAAAAAAGAATTTTAATTTAAATATAAAAAAATATTTCTATGTTTTCCGAGAAATTTAAAATATAAACCATACATTACCAATTTTTAAAAGTGTATGCATTTAATTTTCCATTAGCTAAGTTAATCACTATTTAATAGCAATTTTTAAAATTTGTTTTTTTATTTTAACTAAAATTAAATGTTTTCATTAAAAATTGTTTCAAGAAGTCCAAAGTTTTCCTCTTCAAAAAGCGCTAAAGGACAGGATAAATGCAAGTGCATAAGTAAGATCTGTATGCACATGAACATGCATATATAAGCCTTTTCCGTCTTCTTATTTCACCCTTTACTCTCTCAACTCGACTCAGGCCAATCAATATATTTTTTACAAATATTGGCAAAAGTTTTGCTTTTGGCTTAAACCCTGTGCCTGATACTCGAAAATAAATTTAAGCAGAAGTGAAGGAAAATATTTTGCCATCTTAAGTGCATAAAACTATAAACGTTAAACAAAATATTTCGCATACACGCACGTATCCGTACAAATGTGGTTATTTATACTGCATATACATATATATATTTTTTTTGGCTTTATTCCCAAAGCCTTTGGCCCGGGACTCGAGTAGCTTTTGGCCCGACCGATCTATTTTTTTTTTGGTGGGGGCTTTTCGGTACGAAGGAATGTTTGCGGTGCGCGCTGAGCGCATTAGTTGTGTGGAGTCCTCGCTATTTTTGGCCTTTGCAATTGGTTTATGCCAACAATGCAGCTCAGCCCCGGCCATGTGTTGGAAATTCTTTTGTATTTGAATTAAAATTGCATACATGATTTATAGACGCTTCGAAGAGTTGGCCTGGCGAAATAAACTTATGCATGGGATTTTTGTGTGCGCCACGATAGTGAAATGGGATATATGCAATTGATAACGGCGCAAGATATAGCTCTTGAGTTTGAGTGGGAAAATAAAAGGATAACAATATCCACTGCTTCTCCATATATATTTATCCATTTAAACGGAAATTGTTGTGTGGCCTTTGGCTTCTCTCCATATCAACCATTCAAATATAGACATAAGGCGAGCTGAAATAGCCAAGAAATCGAGTAGTAACATATTTATTAGGGCGTAACTTGCTTACGCAACTTAACCAGCAATTTGCAATTTCCTGGCCACTTTAAGAGCATTATCTGCACCCCATCGGCACACTTGGCAGACATATAATTTACAAATCGGGGGATCGGGATCGGGATAGGAATCGGAATCGGGCTGGCAGGACATGCTAAACACATCAACAGCAATGGCAAACACAAATTACTCAGCAGAGCAAACAAATGAAAAGCGATAATATCGCGTACAGCACAAGGGAGAATATTGAATGGATAATATATATATTTGGTGTGTACGAGTATATGTAGGATAAGTTAGAGCCAAGAGCCGAGTCAAAATCCCTGGCACTAAATCAATGAATTGCGGTTGTCCTTCAATTTCCTTTTTGGCCAAGTTAAGTAAAGCGAGAAAGAGGAGCTCGAGCTCGGGCTCATCGCTTCTCATCCAGCATTGGCATCATCATCGAATCGACATTGAGTTGCGTGTTTGAAATATTGAAATATTTTTGTTGGCCATGTTTACACATCGGGCTATTGACTGCGCACAGTTATTCCCCATTTTTTTCGTTTTTCGTTTTTCGATTTTCGTTATTCGTTAGCTTTACAGTTTTGAATTTCCAAAGCGCATTTTTTGCCAAGCATTTTTATTCGATTTGTGTTTGTCTCGTGCTTGCATTTTATTGGCTTCCTCTGCGCCGATAACCCTGATGGCTGATGATGATGATTTCCATTTCCTTGTTCGATAGCACAGGGGGCGGGTGGAGTAGTGAGGGCGTGGAAGAGTTACTTCAGCGCCCGTTCAAATACCAAATACAGTTGTAAATTCAAATGAAATGCAAGCGAGCGCATTGTTTGAGCTTCGGAATGGGTCGAAAATCGGGGTGGTGGTGCTTCAATTCTGGCTTTTTGGTTAGCCAAATATTTAAAGTGGATTTCTTGGAGCATTTTATGAGCTTTCCACTGCGGCTGCCTTCTTTTATTTGATTTGATTTTCCGGCCAGTGGCATCTGTGCCGTCGCCATTGCCATCGCCGTCGCATTTGCCGTCCCAGAGAATTAAGTAATAAATTTGGGTTCGAGAAAATATGTTTGCGGTTGCCGGAATCGAAATGGAATGGCAGACCGTGCTGAATTGCTGTGAATTACAAATCCGTAAACGTCGCATCTTTGATGCGGCATGCACTCTGCGAAATGGCCAAAAGTGCCAGAACCGAAAACCCAAAAACGAGATGAAGAAAAACCAGCAAACACAATCGAAAACGGAAAAACCGGATAAAAGTCGGGCTCATCACGTCCTTGTCCTTGTCCCTCCGCCTCAGACATCGTTACATTTATTTACACCAACATGCAAAACTCGCATTGAGACAATTTCATGCTCATCTGCATAAAATCAATTCCATTTTGGAGACAATTTGAAGATTGGAATACAAATTTCGAATTATCAACATGGGACCCGACGTCGGGGAGTCGTGGCAAAATGGCCAAACCGGCAGCGATCGCAATCAGCATTGCGACCTGACCCCAACCTCTCCCATTTCTCCACTCCTTTAGCTATTTG